CCCCAAAACCCCAAAACCCCTTAATCACAAAAATAATGTGAAAAAAAATCATGTTAATTTTTAATTTAATTGACAAAAAATATTATATAAATTTGATATTAATTTATCTCTGAATCGAAATGGATCGAAATGCACCTCCTATGAACCTGAGAGAATTACAGGTATTTTAAATAAATAACAATAATTTAAAAAGAGGATGGTATTGGAGTTAGAGTAAAAGGCCTTTTAAAACGAGAATCTGGTCAGTCTCATAGAGCACTCTGTCTAGAATCATATATTAACATACAATTTAAGACTTAAGCAATAGTATAAATTTGCTTCGTTGTAATAAAGGCAGTTGGCTGCATAAGGCAAATTAGGTTATTCTTTGACTACTGCTCATGAGCGTAAGCATATAAACTAACAATTTCATCCAGTTTGCAAGTAATAACTTAACTATTTTAGCCTTTGAAGTTATTACAAGATAATTATTAGACGGAATGTTTGAGGATTTTAAGTCAAGTTTTCAAGAATAGATGAATGAGGACATTGAATACAAACTCAGAGAATTTCAACTTGACAGCATAAATCCAGCAGTTGAGGCTGTAGAAAAACTCAAGAAATCAAGAGATAGTGTTGATAGTTATCATGTTACGATGGAACGAATTGGTGCATTAGAGAAATAATTAAATATTCTTGAGGAGACCAATAATACTAAAATTAATCTGCTAGATGAAGATCATTAGACATATAGGAAGAACATAATGGATATTTAAGAAAATTTTAAAAATGAAATCAAACTACTAAAGATCGACAATTTTGAGTAGAATAAGAAACTTGATTTGAAATATGAGCAACTATTGTAAAGAATTCATCTTCTTGAAACTAATTAGGGAGAAATTGCCTCCAATAAATCAAATGTTTCAGGTGAATCCCTAGTCAAAAAGGTAACGATTAAAGGGATTGACCATAATCCAAATACCACACAAAGACTGATTTTGAAGGTCAATAAGACATCACTAGAACAGCTTGAAAATAGGATGAATGAAATGAAAGACATAATGTAGAAATATATCCAAGAGCTAAGCGAAGATTTGATAAAATTAAGGGACTATGGATATAACAACTAAAAACAGTCTGAAGAGCGATTGAGGTGTGAAATAGATGAATTATCGATGACAGTGAGTGCTCTATACATTTAAAAAAGTGAAGTCTAATTGAAATTCTAAACCTTCTTGGAAAAAGTAAAGTAAATGGTTAATTAAGGAAACATGGATTTACAAAGAAAGAGTACAGGTGGTAACAGAACTTAAATGAGTTCAAGAGTGAGATGCACCTGCAATAACTAGGAGATAACCTTGAATTCTAGGCATCGATGCTACAACTGTAATAGAGACATTGACGGAATGTCAGACTTAAATGACTAATCACAAGATTTGGCTAAAGATAATAATGACGATCTGACAGTAAGATTGAAATCTATCAATAACTTTGTGGACACTAATACATCTATGATAAATTAACCATAAAGACTCTTTTAATTCAATGCAGATAAAAGTAGACAAATATCTGAATTAGATTCTGGCTCTATGCACCGAGTTTCATTGCCAGTTACTTAAAATAATGCTGAATGGTAAAATACACTTAAAAAACTTAGGAAATCTGGGTTCAGGAATAGAAGTAAGTTGGCTCACAGCACTCTTGAGAGTTCAATTGAGAAAGTCATGACAAATAGAACTCAGAAAAGAAATATTGTTCTAGAAAACTACAATGTTGAATAAAAAGTACGTTATCTTTTCTATATTAATTCGTAAAGGTGTTGTTTGAGAAATTATAAATGAGTAGACCATAAGCAAACTAGTAACGTACGGATAAAGTCGAAAAGTTTTATGGTTTTTCTTAACAAAATTCCCCTACAAATACATTCTTTGTAAATAAAGTAACAAAATAAACTTATACAATAATATTTGATAGAGACGGCCAGCAAAAAATTGAGATTGTTCTAGATCTTGATGATTCAAATTAATTCGAAACTAATTTATACCAATAAATATTATCGTTACCAAAAATAAATACTGTATTTCTTTTCCTACGATTATAGCCACTAATCTGTGTAAGGGGTTTTGGGGTTTTGGGGTTTTGGGG